TGTGTGTATATATATATATATTTTTTTTTTTTTTTATTCTTAGAACTTTTATTGATTTTTGTTTGTAGTCTTTGAACAATTCTTTTGCTAGTTTTAGTACATAAGTTTTTGCCAATTTCACTTTTAGTCTTTAAACTTTAATTTCCTTTAGATAACACTTTAATCCTTAATATCACAAAATTTTAATCATTGAAAAGAAATTTCAAAAATTTAAACAAAATAAAATTTGTTCAAGAAATTAAAAAAAACTAAAAAATAAAATTAAGAATTGAATACATAACTTCATAAATAATAATAATAAAAAAAGTATTTATTAGGACGTAAGAAGAAAAGAAGAAATGAATTAAACGATGCCGTGATGGATCGTCTGCGTAGAAAGGACTTGACCTTAATCTAAGAAAGCTTTTACGGTGTATATATATATTGATGCTTCCTCCGTCTCTTTCTCAATTTAATTGCCTTCTCTGATATATCACTATATAGCTCTTAGTTACTCTTATTATTTGCGTCATTCTTTATCCAATGGAAGCCAAAGCAGATTTTACCCAAGATGGCACCGTTGATTTCCGTGGCCAGCCAGCACTTTCCTCCAAAACAGGCAAATGGAAGGCTTGCGCTTTTCTTGTTGGTCAGCATTCTCTCATATATCACTTTGGTTTAAGCTTTATTTTCTTAGATCTTCACTACCATATTATTTCAAGATATCACTTTGGTTTGAGGGCATGAAGCAAAGCATGCATATAATTAAGATGAATATTTCAGGGTATGAAGCATTTGAAAGGATGGCCTTCTATGGAGTGGCTTCGAACTTGGTGAATTACCTGACAAGCCAACTACATGAAGATACGGTTTCATCAGTGAGGAATGTTAATAACTGGTCAGGATCTGTGTGGATAACGCCAATTCTTGGGGCTTACATAGCAGATTCTTACTTGGGTCGCTTCTGGACTTTCACTCTCTCTTCTCTCATTTATGTCTTGGTAATTAATTAACCCTTTCTTTCCATTATAAACATCATATTAATCTCTATACTCCATCAACATCATTTCATCGTCTTTATAAAAAAAATTTGTCATGTATACTATATATCTAAACAGTAACTTCATCTCTGTTACTTACATGATTTCTTTAACAATTAAAAGTCAATTAATTTATAGGTTTACTTCAACAGTAGACCTTAATTAATTATATATTATATATATTGTAATGACAATATATATATTATTTATGCAAATATGAAATATATATTAAGTTTGTTTTTCATTAAATAAATATTATATTAATGTGCAAAAAAGGTTAATATCCGATTGTTAATATATAATTTTTTTAATTTATTCTATTCTTATAGCATATTTCTTTAACATTATTTATTTTTTCATCTCTTTTCATTATATTACTTATTTTATAGTATATCTCAATTTTTCTCTTATCTCCTCTAAATATAATTTGAAGGCATTAATAATATTAAAAAATTATACTGTTATTTAATCAATAATTTTCATGTATAACGACATTATTAATTTTATGTTGTAATTATTTTAAAAGTCATATATAAAAGCGTAAAAGAGTTATCCTATGAATGAATCAAAATTAACCTTTTTTATTTTATTTTTATTACTTGTTTGCGTTTACCTAGTTACTCCTAGTCGAAGGCTTCAATTCCATTATTTGCACTCGTACGTGAGACGCTACCTTGCTATATATATATATATATATATATGATTAGTCAACTATCATAAATAGTCCAAGACAATTATTTATGATTCATATAGCCCCACCATGAAGCTAAGGCCACACAAATTTGAATTGATGTAAATGTACAATGAAGGGGACTATTATTATATAATATTTTGTGTCTGGTTCTCTCATTTTATTTTTAATAATTTTTTTATAAGTGGAGGGAAAAAATAGAAACATTTTATATAAAAAGGGACACACAAAAAAAATGAGTTTTAATATAATATATGTTTAATTTCATCACTCTTTTAAAATATTCATTTCACGTGTTTGTAAAAATGGATAAGAAATTTTATTAGAAGGCTGAATTACCATGGGATTGATTGATAACGAAAGAATATATGCCCATGACAATTTATTCTAAATGGTCACTTTATATTACCTCAGTTTTGGCACAATGAAGTTGTATCATACTATATCATGTCATGTACATATATATAAGTTTGAAACTTGAAACCATAATTCTCAAAACACAAGTAAACTATGACCTTAATATCTGTAATTTGTTTTTAATAATTTTATGATGTGCATTTGTATAGCCAACTAAATTGTATATTAAAAAAAAACTAACTAGTTGACATTACAGGGGATGACTCTTCTCACTATAGCGGTGTCACTCAAGAGCTTGAAGCCAACATGCAGCAATGGCATATGCAACAAGGCCTCAACCTCACAAATTGCATTTTTTTACACAGCCCTTTACACTATGGCAATTGGAGCAGGAGGAACAAAACCCAATATCTCAACCTTTGGTGCTGACCAATTTGATGACTTCAATCCCAATGAGAAAGAGATAAAAGCTTCCTTCTTCAATTGGTGGATGTTTACCTCATTCTTGGGTGCTTTGATTGCCACTTTAGGGTTGGTCTACATTCAAGAGAACTTGGGGTGGGGACTAGGGTATGGGATCCCAACTGCTGGTCTCCTATTGTCTTTGGTCATATTCTATATTGGCACACCAATATATCGTCACAAAGTAAGGACAAGCAAAACTCCTGCTAGGGATATAATTCATGTACCCATTGCAGCCTTCAAGAATAGGAAACTCCAACTCCCTTGTAATCCCTTGGATCTCTATGAGCATGATCTCCAACATTATCTTAGTAGTGGAAAACGGCAAGTCAATCACACTCCAACTTTCAGGTCAGCAAATGCAATATCAGTTTTTACTCTTTTTTTTATTTAAATATTATTCATTTTGCATTCTTATTCACAATCACACATTCCACTTTCCGAAATCAATAAGGTTTTGTGTTCTTGTCCAATCTCTATGTGACATATTTAAATTTATCAATTTATATGAAAAAATTAATGTTATATGCCATGTGATGACTAATTAAGAACTATATGATTTATAATTACTTAATAATTTCTTATACAATGGACACATGCATGTTACTAGTTTACACAAAAAAGAAATAGAAAAGAAAAAAGTGACAATGCGATAATGATATAATGTGATTAGAAGAGAAAAATAAAGAGAAGTAAAATGTGTAAAATGTATTTATACTTTTGGAGTGTCATATATCAGTCTTGCCTTGAAATATTTGACAACATACTTAGTGATGTGGAAGAAAACCGTGCATCACATGTAAAAATGAACTAAATTGCAAACATGTTTCTTAGATATTATACTTGCTATAGACTGTTTCAATATTTTTCTTTTATAGTCAAAAATGAGTTCCACATTTTAGTGTAAAAGATCATGAATGTGAAACGTGTTTGTTAGAAAACTGAGTGTGAAAGAAAACTGATATCAGAGTATCATTGTTTGTTAGGTTATAAAATCAGAATGAAACGTGGTGAGAGAAAAAGATAAAAATAAGTGTAGAAAAAAATAAAATATTATAAAAATTAATACTCAGAACTCAGAAGAGACGGGTAAAAGTACAAAGTGAGTGGGGTAATGTTATAATAATTTCATTATTTAAATATTAAAAAAATGACACCGTATAGGCGTATACAATATTACAGACGATTATTTTCTATCTTCCACTCGTTTTGTTTTATCTTTCACTTTCAATGGTCACGTAACATTTTCCATGTTTTAAAGATTGTTGTGCATAAATTGCACATAAGTGGTAGAGGTAGGGGACCAATTCAGGCCTAGTGGGGTGATAAGCAGCAAAACTTGGAAGCATCTGGGAAAGGCATTGTCCATCTTTACCCAAGTCATCAATTTGATAGAGAATCCAGAAAATGGTCCATGTCTTGTCTTCTAAAGATTCCATGTTCCCCATTTTAGTTTCTTGGCTCTCAGCCAGTCAAAGGGACTCATTCAGTACGATCTTGTCTGCATAGCCAGGGAACCCACAATTTGAGGCAAAATTCGTAATATACAATCAAGTGTAATTAAATTTTTTATAAATTAAAATTTTAAAATATATGTTATATGAAATCCTAAATACTTAGTAGTCCTACCTAATAATTTATTAGCATTCAGGCCTAGTAATAATATATCATTTGCCTCATTGAATTCCTTCCATGTGAACAGTTCACACGTTCTTCTTTGAAAACCCCCTCTTTCATGACTAGTCACTATCTTTCAGCCAAGTTGTTTTCCACAGTTGTGACCACAGATGAACCACTGTTGCAAATTATTACAAACAATTGCTATCACATATTGCATGCATAGCACGGTACAGTTCCCGTTTGCAATCTTGGTGCATAGAGAGACACATGGGATGGATTCATTAGCAGAATATAGGATAGGAACATTCCACTGCTACACAATGACAAATATTTTGTTTTTCCTACACCAATTTTGTAAGAGTAAAGCTACACCATCCGAAAAATTTATCCAAATGATCTTTCAAAAATTAAAATATTAATATTTTGTAATAAATTTATTATAAAATAATTATTTAATTTAATATTTTATAATTTAAATTATTATTTTATACATTCGGACAGATTTTCGGATAATCATTTTCCATTTTGTAAGTAACTGAAAACTTGTTTGTTCAGGTTTTTGGACAAGGCTGCTATCAAAGGTAACAGTTCTGGTTCCACAAGAGTACCATTGACAGTAACACAAGTGGAAGGAGCTAAGCTTATCTTTGGCATGGTCCTTATATGGCTGGTGACTCTGATTCCTAGCACCATTTGGGCACAAATCAACACTCTTTTTGTGAAACAAGGCACCACTTTGAACAGAAACATTGGTGCTGATTTTAAGATTCCATCAGCCTCTCTTGGAAGCTTTGTGACACTCTCCATGCTTCTTTCAGTGCCTTATAATTTAAATTATTATTTTATACATTCGGACAGATTTTCGGATAATCATTTTCCATTTTGTAAGTAACTGAAAACTTGTTTGTTCAGGTTTTTGGACAAGGCTGCTATCAAAGGTAACAGTTCTGGTTCCACAAGAGTACCATTGACAGTAACACAAGTGGAAGGAGCTAAGCTTATCTTTGGCATGGTCCTTATATGGCTGGTGACTCTGATTCCTAGCACCATTTGGGCACAAATCAACACTCTTTTTGTGAAACAAGGCACCACTTTGAACAGAAACATTGGTGCTGATTTTAAGATTCCATCAGCCTCTCTTGGAAGCTTTGTGACACTCTCCATGCTTCTTTCAGTGCCAATGTATGACCGGTTTTTCGTGCCGTTCATGCGCCAGAAAACCGGCCACCCTAGAGGAATCACATTGCTTCAAAGGCTTGGAGTTGGATTCTCAATCCAGATCGTAGCCATAGCAATTGCTTATGCAGTAGAAGTTAGAAGAATGCATGTCATAAAAGCAAACCATGCAGCTGGTCCTAAAGACATAGTTCCTATGAGTATATTTTGGTTGATGCCTCAGTATGTTCTAATTGGGATAGCAGATGTGTTCAATGCCATTGGATTGCTAGAATTCTTCTATGATCAATCCCCTGAAGATATGCAGAGCCTTGGAACCACGTTTTTCACTAGTGGCATTGGTGTTGGGAACTTTTTGAACAGCTTTTTGGTGACAATGGTTGATAAAATAACAGGAATAGGTGACAATAAGAGCTGGATAGGGGACAACTTGAATGATTGTCACTTGGACTACTATTATGGGTTTTTGTTGGTCATGTCAAGTGTTAATTTGGTGGTTTTTCTTTGGGTTTCAAGTAGATATATTTATAAGAGGGAATCAATAAGGATCAAAGAGGGGCTTTGTGTCCAAATGGAAGGAAACCCAACTTTGGACGCCTCTCTCAGTTTACAAGTGTGAAAATGAAAACTAGCTATAGGGTGATGATAAATAACCGGTAGTGTGATATTGACCTAAATTCTATTGACAGATTCTGCGCCAAATTGATAAATGATAGTCATTTGAATTTAATTGGCCCCAGCAATAAGTGAAGATGGAGCCAAATAAATTTATATACACAACACAAGTTTGTGTAGAATTTATGAATGTATAAACTAATATCTCACTAGTCACTACACCGTGTGTGCTATTTTGTAAAATGTGTGCAATGTGAGTATTTTTCCCCCTTGCTTTTGCTAATGTAATTTCTTGTGCGAATGCAATGTTTCAATCTTTCCTTCTTAAGTTTGTCTTTTTTTATTATGGAATGAAGCTACTTAAAATACTGAAGCAATGTATCCAATTTATAGAACGCGTAGGATTAAAAGTTTTACAAATTCTGATGATTCGGTGGTGAAAATTATTCATGTCCTTCGCGTAGATATCTAAACCTAATGCAGCGACAGAATGAGGAAAATGAAGAACGTAAAGCCTTAAATCGTGTCATAAGTTAAATGGTATGGTTTGCATGATGTGCCCTTTGAGCCTGTGTTAAATATGTACCTGATAAGACACGGATGCCCTTCTAGGATAATCCTCACATTAGATTGAGTAAATGGTTTTTGGGATATGATCCAAGTCTCACTTGTTTAATAAATTTATACTTTATATACACACATATGTGTCTCTATTCATTAAACACCTTTTGAATAATAACTTAAAATAAAATCATAAAGATTTAAGTCTAAAATAGATAATATTTTATTAATATGAAAATATATGTGTGACAATATTCGATGCACAACAATGTTATATAGTCATTCATCATTATCATTATTTATTAATAACTAACAAAACATCATCATTATATCACTTGAATGAATTGTAATGTAATTATCATTTATAAAATAAGATTATATCCAATCATAAAATACATTAATCTCATCTTTAAATTAATTTCTTATAACAAATGTACTCTTTTTAACTTGAGCATTGAAACATTTTTGTAAGTACCCCACCTAGCCAAGAAGTTATTGGAATGAAGGAGAAAGGGAGAGGAGGCTTCTAAAAACTTTACATTCCCATTTTCTAGTAGGAATGCCCCTCATTGTAATCCAAATAGTAAATGTTATAAAAATGACATGCATTTAAAAGAATATTTGATTCGTAATAAAGAAGATGTATCATAACGTTCACACAATTTTTTATTATCATTAATCACTAATAAAACATCATCATTATATCACTTGAATAAGTTGTTACGTAATTATCTTTTGGCTTAATTGCAGTTTTGATCCCTCAAGTATTGTAATTGTGCAATTTTGATCCCTAAAATCTTAATTGGGTAATTTTAGTCCCTAAAGGATTGAAGTTATGCAATTTTAGTCCTTCAATTTTTAATTGAATAATTTTAGTCCCTCAAATATCATAATTGTGCGATTTTAATTTTTCCTATTAAAAATTTAATAATTTTAAAATTTTAATATATATATATATAATATTTTAAAATTATACAATTATTTTGTTTATTTAAGTTAACGTATATTATAATTTTTGTTAATGTAACAAATAATATATATTTATTATTACTAAATAAATAAAATTTATATATAACTTAGTATATATTAATATACTTTTACAAAAATATAAATATATTAGATAAGATATGTATATTTCTAATTAATATACTTATATTTTTGTAAAAGTATAGTAATATATAATAAGTTATATTTATCAAAGTATTAGTTTATCTATAAATATATTAATAATATTATTGATATTAATTTATTAGTAATATTATAAAAATAATAATATATAAATTTTATTTATTTAGTAATAATAAATATATATCATTTGATACATTAATGAAAATTATAATATATGTTAACTTAAATAGACAAATAATTGTATAATTTTAAAATATTGTATATATATATATGTATATATATATTAAAATTATCAAATTTTTAATGAGAGAGATTAAAATTGCACAATTATAATATCTGAGGAACTAAAATTGTTCAATTAAAAATTGAAAGACTAAAATTGCACAATTGCAATTCTTTAGGAACTAAAATTCCCAATTAAAATTTTAGGGATCAAAATTGCACAATTGCAATACTTGAAGGATCAAAACTGCAATTAAACCTTATTTTTTTTATAAAAAAGACTAAATCTAATAATGCACATTAATATCATCTTTAAACTAATTTTCAACACATTTTTCAAGCAAGTATGTTATAGTCCTAATATTAAAGTGAGTAAAATATGTATCTTGAAAACTTACAACCATTTGATTTATAATAAAAAAAGTGTATCACACAAGACATTATTATCATTAATGTCTAATAAAATATTATCATTATATTACTTGAATAAATTATAACATAACTATGATTTATAAAATAAAATAAAATCCAATCATACATTTATCTCAATTTTAAACTAATCTCCTACAAAGATGTACCCTTTTGACTAGGATATCATAATATCTTTTGTAAGTAACCCACTCATCCAAGAGGTATTGAAGTGAAGTAGAAAAAGAGAGGAAACTTCTAGAAACTTGAAGTACCCATTTTCGAGCAGGTACAAAATCCAAACAGAAACGTCCTTGAAAGTTGAAATGTTTTTAATTGGAAACACATTTCACAGAATTTCATGCGCATGAAACAACAATGAACCGCATACCATCATCACTAAAAGTAAAAACATTTTCCACTCCGTTCCTTTTGCTTCTTGTGCTTAAACATGGCTGCAGGTGTAAGGTAAACTTCAATCTAGAGGAGTAAGGTCCTTCCTAGAAAACTACTGAAGTGTATATGGAGCTTCATAATGCTTGAGTTTCTGGCAAAATGTGATAGAGCTTTAACATGTAAAAGCTACACCCCACCTTGAAATGAGGTGTTGCATCTATTACATTGCACCTTACAACTTTTAGGCTCTGTTTGGATTTGAGGATAAAAAATAGAGAATGAAAAAGGAGGGATTTGAATGGAAAGTGAGTGGAAAGTGAGGTTGTTTGGATTAAGGAAAAGTGAGTAGAAAGTGTAAAGAAAGTTTGTGAGTGAATTGATTGATGTTATAGATAAAAATAAATTTTTTAATTGATGATTTTATAAGATTACTATTTTGCCCTTAGGTTAATTTTTTATTATTATTATAATTAAAAGATAAATATAAAAATTTTAACTAAAAAAATAAATACAAAATCTTAATTTAAAAATAATTTAATTTAAATATTTGCTTTAAATTTAATGATAAAATTAATTTAAGATTCTTTTTTAATTTTATTATTAGTAGTTTTATAATACAAATAAATAATATTATTATTTTAATAATTTAATTGATATTTTGACTATATTTAAAATATTGAAAAAAATATTTTTTCTATGATCTAAATATTATATATATAATATAAGATAATTTTTATTTAAATATTAATAATAATGATAATAATAATAATATTTATAATAATAAATAATAATAACAAAATATATTATGATAATTATATTTTCTAATTTGTATTTTTATCCATAACAACCAATTTGGAACGGTCCGTTCTCAACTAGGATTTTTAAGCCAATTTAGTAGTTTGGAACGGTCCCATTCCAGTTTGGGAACGGTCCCGTTCCAGTTTGGGAACGGCCCGTTCTAAGCTACTAAAGTACCCTTGTTTTAGTAGTTTGGAACGACCCGTTCTAGGCTACGACTGGAAACAAAAATATGTCACATAATCGATTATATATGACACATAATCGATTATGTGTCATCAGTGACGGATCCAGAAATTTTTAAATAGTGGGGGCAATACTTATTCATATATTTGTAATATTAAAAATTTTACATATAACTTTTAAAAGTATAAAAACATATCATAATTATTTTTTTTATAAGTTTTTATATCTACGATTACGATTAATGATGAAAATAAATTAGGTCAAATTAGATTATATTATAATTTAATAAGGTTTGAACCTAACTTTTTTTAAAAATACATGTTCTAAATATGACTTATTTATCTGTCATAGACATTTTTCAAATGTTTAGTTAGAATTTCAATCTTTAAACCTACTTTATAATAATTTAATATTAATAAAAATATTAAATTAAAAATATTAAATTGTATAAAAATTGAGCTTAATTTATTTATGATATAAATATATTTTTAATATCTAATATAAATTTTAAAATGATAATTTATTTTAAGACATATTTCTAATAAATTATAAATAGAACATAAATATTATAATATTTTCTATTTTGATTTTTTTAATTAACGTATATAATCTTACAATCTTTATTATTTTAATTTTTTATAAACAATATATACAATAAATAGAAAGCAAAAAAGGTAAACATGCATGTTGCAAATTTTATTTTATTAAAAATATTTTTTTTAATATATTACATTATATATGTGAGCATTAATATATATATATAGATAATATTATAATTAAACTTTTAAAAAAATTATTTTATTATTAAAGAATACTCTTTATCATACATAATAACTAATCTCTTTCAAAAGTTTAACAAATATCAAATAAATTAACAATTTTTTTAAATTTATATTTTATACATTTGATAGTTTAAATATATATATATATAAGAATTAATTTTTTATTTTTAAAATATATATTTTTTAAATAAAAAATATATGTATGTAAAATGATAGTGGGGGCAAGTGCCCCCACTCTTCTCTAAGTAGATCCGTCTCTGTGTGCCATGCATAATCGATTATGCACGTGATAGACAGAAGGGCAACCATGTCTTTCATCCTTGCCAATGTGGCTTTCTCCGCTTTTCTCCATGATTTATCGAAGAATCTTCCGTACAGCTCTCCCGCTTTTCCCCGCTTTTCTTTCTTTGTATTTCACTCGAAACAAACACGTTCTATCTTCGCCTTTCATTCGTCGTGAACAGTAAATCAGCGGAAACAAACAGGAGTTAAAGTGAAATATGGGGTTGATAGCTAATGATGAAAATTGAAAAAATCATCCGTTAAGATTTTTTATTTTTATATTTTATATAGAAATGGACCCTAAACCTTAGATAATCCAAACTCAAGAAAAAGAACTGCTAAAATAAATATCAAGGACCAAAATTTATCTCATTTATCATAGAGCAGGAGATGGATTCAACTATCGTTATGTATTTAAGCTATCACTTTATATGCAATGAATTCTTTGCAAAATAGTTGAATTTTAATCCATTGATTAGGACGGCAAGTGATTTCACCATTAGTCATACATACCTAAGCAAAACCTTGAAGAATATATCAATATATTATGTGACAGCAACGAACAACCTTGTCAACAGAACAACCATACAAGCTTCAGCGGAAATTTTCCTTTTTATTTTATTAGCACTGAGATTGAATATATGCGCTGTATGTATAGACTCTTCTTACAGTAGTTGCATGCAATGAAGAACCAAACCCTTTGGAAAATACTATAGATTTTGAGTTGAATTTACATATTGGCATGAAGAAAAATATATATAAATTTCTATCTATGTTATGATGTAATGACATCTCATAATTCAGCAGGCATTCTCAACCAAAACCATGTACAATTCAATGAATATCAACAATTCAATTACCATAGTAACTTTCCCACAACTATAATTAATTCACAACTTGAAATCAAAGAATCTTTTAGAACACAACCTCACTACTGGAGATGCTGCTCACCTTGCCAAACACCAACAATATCTTTGAGAGCTGGCCTTAAATCCTCCTTCAATATCTTCTGGTATTCTAATGCATCACCACAGGATTTCCTCATCTCAACCAAATGGAAAGATGGGGTGACCTCAAATATTTCAGCATCAATGGAAAGTGGTCCTTTTCTACCTTCCCTGGATCTCTCCAATTTCACCAATCTTTCATCCTTCTTGATTATCTCCATCCTCAAAATGCCAGCAATATCCTCCATGGTAGACATGATGGATGAGGCAGAGCTCATGAATATAAATTTCATATCTTCCAGTTCAACATTGCCAGTAAAAAGGCCAGACAAGTCAAGCCCAGCAGACAGAGAAATTATGTGAAAAGCATTCAAATGTGCAGGTTTAACCAATGCTTGATCTGCCTCAGCAGCAACACTTGCATTCTCACACAAACCAAAAGCTTGATCAGAATCAACTAAGGCCACATTTGTAGCCTCTCTTTTCACTTGACCATATTTGGAGTTAAATCCCTTTCTAAACCAAGAATTTGCAAAAATCTTTGCCATGGATATCCTAGTATCTGGGTTAGGGTCAAGGATTTTTGCCAACAATCTGCGCACTTCAATTGAAAACCAGTTTGGACACTGGTAATCAGCCCTACCTATTTTCCTATACAGTGACATAAGATTCAAATCATGGAATGGCAGATGACCAGCCAAAAGAACAAACAAGATCACTCCACAAGACCACACATCAGCTTTTGCTCCATCATAACCCTTTCTGCTTATAACCTCAGGAGCTACATATGCAGGAGTTCCACAAACAGTATGCAGCATGCTGTCATGACGATGAGATTCTACAAGTGCACTCAATCCGAAATCCGCTACCTTGAGAACTCCATTCTCATCCAAAAGCAAATTCTCCGGCTTCAAATCCCTGTGATAAACACCCCTACTGTGGCAAAAATCGACAGCACTGATCAATTGTTGAAAGTACTTCCTTGCCTTGTTCTCATGGAATCTACCTTTAGCTACCCTGTTGAAAAGTTCACCCCCTTTGGCATATTCTATGATGAAGTAAATCTTGGTCTTGGTGGCCAAAACCTCATAAAGCTGCAAAACATTGGGGTGTTTAACCAGTTTCATAATAGATATCTCTCGCTTGGTTTGATTCTCCAACCCAATTTTCAGAATTTTCTCCTTGTCGATCACCTTAATGGCAACACTCTCACCAGTTCTGAGGTCCCTTGCATGGTAAACCTTTGCAAAGTTTCCTTGCCCTAACAATTTTCCAAACTCGTACTTCTGCATCAACACACTCCCCCTTTTCTCCATTTTAACCGCAAATCCTCAAACACAAACTATGCACCCCGGTTATCTAAGCAAGGAAGCTTTCTCTGTCAAGGATCTACTTCACCTTGAAAAACACCACAACAATTAATTCCATTGTGTATTAGCAACACAATAGATGCAATACTCTTTCACCTCCTCAAGAAGCCATGAAACAAATGCACTTAACTACAGAACGGCTTCAGAGAAAATGCTCTAAATGTCCAGACTCCTATCTCATCATCCAATTCAAATGCTCCCCCTGAGAGTAAGTAACAAAAACAGTCAAACACACATACATGGAGGTTCCAACACAAAGACACGTATGAAGTTGGATCAAAACAAAAAGAAATTCATTGAAACAATCCAGAGAAACAAAAAACATGGTATTACAAAAATTGAAAATGTGGAGTGTGGACATTCACATAGTTAGAACTTAATCATATAAGAATGATATGATGATCAACCAAAATAAACATGTTCACTTTCCCTTGATCGATCATCCATACAAAGAATAAGAAAATATAAGAAAGATAAGTTTAGGAGAATTTTCAGTTGAAAAGCCTAAGAAGAAGAAAGAGTGTTACCGTTTGAAGAGACGGGGAGAGCCTTGAAGAGATGGAACGTTATAAGAGAAGAAAAAGCATAATGGTGTGGGAAGCAGAGCAAGTAAGCTTAGTTATAAAGGATTTTCTTAGGTATCACTACGTTGTACAACTAAGACTTCAGTTTGAGTTTCTCCCACGTCATCTTTTGCTGTTTTCTTTTGGTCGTTATCATTCAAAAATACCTTTTACTTATTGCAATTTGCTCCTCGTTATAGAACTCTCATCACAATAATAAAAACTATAAACCCCTAATATTTGCCTATTCATCAACCAATTGAATACAATAATAAAAACTGAAAATCGGTCAAAAAAACAACTGAAAATTCAACAGATTAAAAGTTGAAAAATAAAATAAAAATCATCATATTAGATCAAATTTTGGATTTGACTTTGAAAATGGATCTAATGCAATCCTATTCAAATCAAACTTATATATGTGCATTTATATTTATAATTGGACTCAATGATTATCCACAGTTAATTTAAAAGATTTTATTTTGTTTATCAATAAAAAAAAAATATTAATACTATCGTAAAAAAGACATGTTTCCGTGTAATTTTTTAAAAATATAAATAAAGTAAAAATGAGTTATTAATAATTAGAGTCTTAACGATTTTTAATTACCAGGATTAGTCTAGTGGTTGCGTGGGGAGGGGTTGAGATAGTTAGAAGCTTATGTTTAATCCTCATTGCAACCATTTTTATAATATTTCTTATTTATATATATATAAAAAAAAAAAGTCTTAGCGGTTTTTGGATAATTATAATTGTGAGGATAGTTTAAAAAAAAATAGAAAGAGAAAGAATAATTTGAGAAGTAATTTAATATAATGATAAAATTACCCCAAAAAAAAAATGTGTATACTAAATGATTAAATAATCTCCCTTATTAATAAGATAAATAAATTTTAAGATAATTATTATAAAAATTTACAAAATTTATCATCATAGTTAATATTTTATGATTGGATAAGTGTTAGTGCATAACTTTATTTATAATAAATTTATAGACTTTTATATTATCATTCAATCATATATCATCACTTATGAAAAATTTGTTTACTTTTACGTTAAGAATCACAAAATCATTAAACTCATAATATATATGGTCAAAATATTATTTATTGCAGGTTTTAATTATAGTATAATTTTTTATGTAAAATTTTATTTATTTATTATAATTTTTTGTTATATAAAAAAACTATAGTATACACTATATAAGCTAAAATTCTAGTTTCATTTATAAATCACTACTACAAATAATGGTATGTGATTGAATGATAATATAAAACTATTTTATCTTTATAAGTTATACTTAATTTTATGGTAAACTAGTAGCATTATAGCATCGACAACGTACTAGATAATTATTTATTTTATATAACTAAATTTATAATAAATAAATATTTTTATTATATATATATAGTAT